ACTTCTAAACCAAAGGTTGATATCTATTTAAAGACCTACTATGCGCCAGGCATTGTTCTCAATCAGTGGTGGCAAACCTATGGCATATATGCCAGTTTGTATCACCGAAAGATTCGCCATCAATGTTCCAGATACTTGGGAAAAATCTGTGAGCAAAATAAAAACCCCATTTCCCAGTAGAACTTACATATTAATGAGTGTTAGGGGGAGGAGCATAACCAGATACTAAATATTTTATGCTTAGCAGGCCATAAGGTCTACGTCACAAGTACTCCAGCTCTGCAACTGGAGTACAAAAGCAGCCTCAGGTAAGATGTAAATAAAGGAGTATGGCTGTGTTCCCACCAAGCCTTATTTACGGGCACAGAAATTTAAATTTTACATGTTAGAAAATATATTCTTGGGCCGGGGATTTAGCTCAGTGATTCTGCCACCTTCCTCGCAAGTGCAAAGACCCAAGTTCGAGCTCCGGTAACGAAAAAAAATCTTTCTCTGTATTGTTTAGCCACTGAAAAGGGTAAAAGCTTTGTAGATTCTTTTTTGGGTTTTTTTTTATTGTTTTTGGTACCGGAGATTGAACTTGGGTCCTTGCCTAGCTGAGGCAGCCAGCAGAACCACCGAGTCAAATCCCCGGCCCCGTAGATTCTTAATATGGATAAGAAGCAGCAGAATCTAAACCCTTGAAACAATATGTGCAATTTTGGATTTATCTGTAGTTCCAGGTAAGAGAAACAAGGCACGAAGTTTTAATCAGATTTTCGCGGGGTCTTCAACCAAAAAGAAATCAAGAACTACTCCTATCAAATGAATCTCAATGAATACATACCTTACATGGACCCAAACTATCTCCACATCTGAATTTTTACTCTACATTAGACATCTCTATCCCTACCCAGACAGAAGTTAAGCAACAAGACTTCTGATTCTTCATCTCCCAAACAAGGGAACAGGACTAACTTGTGTCTAAAGTCCCTTTTAGTGCTATCATTTTATAATTTAATCCATCTGAAATGCACCTTCCCCATACAACCAACTACAACTCAACTTCTTATTTTTATTAAGTAGGCTTGCCTACACAACACAGAATTTAAGGGCTCCAAAGCACTGCATGTTCCCACTGAATGTCTGTATCACCCCTGTAAACTACTTAGTCTATTAGATTCAGTAGTACCTACAAACTCCTTTGTTTCAGATTATAAAAAGTAGCCAGGCATGACGAAACATGCCTGTAATCCCAGCAATCAAGAGGCTGAAGAATAAGGATCGCCTGGAGTTAGAGGTCAGCCTGTACTAAACAGTGAGACTTTGTATCAAAAAAACAAGGCCTAGGATTTAGCTCAGCGGTTCGGTGGCCTGCCTTGCAAGCCCAAGGACCCGAGTTCAATCCCTAGTACCAAAAAAAAAACCAAAACAACAACAACAACAAAAAAAACCAAACCCAAAACAACAACAAAAAAAACCAAACAAACAAAAACAAACACCACCTCTAAAATAAAAACAGGTATGACCAGATATTCTCATTATAGCTAATCACAAATTCTATGTATTACAGAAGAATTAAAAAGAACCATAAGAATGATGAACTAAAAATAAACTGAAATAATTTCAATTGTCTTTCTAACTTTGGACTGCCTACATCTATAAACCATATATTCTGTCCATTCCCTTTGTCTCAAAAGTAGATTAAACTGATCCCCTCTCACCTAAGGACTTACTTTTGTAGTTATTTTTATCCTCACCATTTCCAACTATCATCTACCTCTTTTCCTATGGTGACAGAAGCCAGGGCCTCAGGTACTCACTCTACTACTCAACTATATACATCTAGCTATCATCTATTTCTCAATCCATTTCAGTACACTCAAGATGCTCTCATCATGGGAAAGGAAATAAGAGAAAAGAAAGAATATGAGAAAATGAAAATATGGGGAAAAAGTCTTTGTAAATAAGGAAGGGTGGAGGGGGTGAAGGGAGGGCAGGGGTATGGGGAAAAAATGAGAACCAAGATCAGTCATGTAAAGGTACAAGATCCAAATGATAAATGTAACTGTACTGTTTAACACTCATTTTTTTATTTTTTGGTTTTTTTGAGACAGTCTCACTATGTAGTTGAGTCTGGCCTGGAACTCACTATGTAGCCCAGGCTGGTCTCGAACTCACAGCAAACCTCCTGCCTCAGCCTCCCATGTGGTGGGATTACAGGCATGTGTGTCACCACACCCAGCTTGCACTGTATATTTAAAAAGTACCAATAACCTCAATAAGGAAAAAAAAAAGATGTTCTTATTAAATTCCAGCTACTTCCCTTGGTCACATGGTTAACCCCCCACCCCCAGCTGGCAGGTCTCAGAGCGGTGCATGGGACTGATCTACACATGGTTAATTTTCTAACCTTACTTTGCTCATAACAGTGTTTTACAGTGACTCCATCTCTCTTAGAAACATTTTTTTCCTTAATACCCCCGGAAGCTACACTCTCAGCTTTTCTACCACTGTTCTCTTCATACCCCCAGGAGGCTGCCTTATTCTCCATTAACATTCTCTACTGGATGTTTTGTAGACCATAGGTTTGAACATTGGAAAGATATGATTCCCAGATTTTCTCCCTATTCTGACTTTTCCACGAGTGCTGTGGTCGACATTTAAATTGCTTTCTATACATATTTTCAGCTATCAGAAAGTCCCACACAGAACTCTTGGTATCTCTCTCAAAGATCATTGTTCCCTCCCCATTCTTCCCTGTTTCAGTGAAGGGCAAGACTGTTCACAAGATGCTCAGGCAAAACAGTTGATCACTCAAATTTTCTTTTATCTCAGGGATGCAAGCAAGACCCATCTGGCTCCAGCTTCAAATTATATTCCAAATCACACAATTTCTTACTAACTGCCAACTCTAGCCTAGCTACTACCTCTCAAGTGGACTACTACAAACTCCTGGTTAACAGTTGGTTTCCCTACTTTCCTCCTAGCTGTCTGTCCCCTCTCCACCAATCTATGATGACAGACAAATCAGATGTCACTTCCAAGCACAAAATCCTTTAAAGGCTTCCTATTACAGATAGGGAACCTGTTAACTACCCTGACCTCATCTCCTGCCGCTCTTCTTTTACTATGTTCCAACTGTACTTCACATTTCTTGAGCAAGTCAAATTCACCTCAAGATCTTTACATTTATAGTTACTATTGTATGAAAAGCTCTTAGAATATTCACACATATAGTTAGTTCTGCTGCCTGCCTTGCAAGTGCAAGGACCCAAATGTGAACCCCAGTATACCCCCAATATATATATATATATATTACACATATATAACTTTCCTCAAGTTCCAAGAGGGTAGGCTGAGGAAGGTACCTGACAGAATAGATGTTTAATAAATATTTCTGGAACACTCTCATTTTCTTAAATTACTGAGGCTTAAAATTTCAGGCATCATGGGATGGGAGTGTAGCTCAGTAGCAGAGTACCTGCCTAGCATGTTCAAGATCCTGGGTTTCGTCTTCAGCAAAGATGAAAGAAAAAGAAAGAAAGGAAGGAAGGAAGGATGGAAGGGGGGGAAAAGAATGCAACAATAAAGCATTTTGGACAGCAGGTTAACTAAAAAGCATTTATACATACTAGTGTAAATTAAAAATCTTTCCTGATTATTTTCCAACAATGAAAAAGTGCACCTGAAGCATTAAAATATTACCTTAGAAATTAATATACAGGGCTTGAATATAACTTCTAATCATATTACAGAATTACTATCTAGTAACTGAACTAGGTTCCATGCATGGCTATCTTCATTTGAAATATACATTTTTAAAAACGATGGTCTGGTAAATCTTGTATTTAGAAACAAGGGTCATTTAAAATTTAACAGGGTTAAATTTGAGCACTTGGCCTAGCATGTTTGAGACTCTGTATTAGATCCCCAACTCAAAGAAAAAAAGAACAATTAAATTAGAATCCCAAGTACTCACTGGCAACAAATAACCATGATGGGAACCATTACAGTTGTTTTTGAGACACAAAAAACAAAAAAACAAATACAGTTCCGATCCAGTCTGGGCTGCAAAGTGAGTTTGAAGCCAGCCTGAAATACAGCCTAAAAAAAAAAACTGGCAGTTTGAAAACGAGGATAAAACTAAAAATTTCAAGCAGGGTGTGGTGTTGCACTCCTGTAATCCCAGCACTTGGGAGGCTGAGGCAGGAGGATCGCTGTGAATTCGATACCAGCCTGGGCTACACAGAGTGAGTTCCATGTCAGTCTCAACTAGATAGACAGACACTGTCTCAAAAAACAAAAACAAAAAACAACTAAAGATTTCAGTTGTTTTCTATGGGGAAAAAGATGTACAGTATAAATATTCAAACAGCCATATATAAATATATATACACACACACACACACACACACATATACATACACATACACACACACACACATACGTTGTTAAAGAGATTTTTCAGTTCCTTAAGAGAAACTCAGTGGGCACTGTACGATAGTACATACCTCCCCTCAGACAAGACTGGGAGGCAGATACACCAAAGCCCCACGCACCAAAGTCAGGCAGAGATCGCTCAACAAGCTGGCCAGAAGATAAACTCTAACGGGTCCCGTAGATGGAAGGAGCGAAGGACCTCTCCTGAGACTAGGAATTTACTTCAAGAAAAGAATGAATCTGAATGCACAGTCAAAAAGCAAAAATGAAAAGCGACAGGGCTGCCATGCTCCTAACTCCACCCTCCCCACGTTCAGCCCAGAAACACAGTTCTCGCCCGCAGCTCCCCCTCCTTCCTCCGCCTTCCAAGCCCACCGAGGGCGCCTGTAGAGGTCCCGCCGCCCTCCCCTCCCCCAGAGCAAGACCAGAGGAGGCCCGGGGAGGTTAAGAGCTTCCTTTCCCTCCCCGCCCAGATGGGAAGGTGTGAGACGAGAGAGACTAAAAACTCCTCCAGTCCCAGGCTCCGTCGTCCTCGATGCGTCCCCTGAGCTCAGTCCCCGCCCCAGTCCCAGACTCACTCGTCCAGCACCACAGCCACCGCAGCCGAGCCTCTTCCACCGCCACAGCCCCCACTCCAGGGCCGCCCCCCTACCCCCAGCTGCCTGCCCCTGTGGGTTCCGGGGCAGTCCAAGGAATTACTTCCGCCGGGTCACAGCCGCTTTCAGCGACTTGCGGAAGATCAGTACCTGGCGAGGCGGAGACTCACGGAGCCTGTCACTAACTCAACTTCCGTCTGGAGGAAGTGCGTAGCGCACTCTGCTTTCCCTTTTAGCAGCACTGGGCCTCCTAAGACGTCACTGGCACATTTTAACCAATCAGATTCTAGGTCTTCTGGATTCCCGGCATGCAGCGCTGATCTGATCTGATTTCTGCAGAGCAGTGCTCAGAGCCTGAGGCAGCACTCCATCCTGGGCTTTGTAGTTTTTCTGGCGGGTCCTGTTGGTGTTCGGCCCGAGACAGCACTGAACGCTGGGACTTGTAGTGCGTGTTAAGGTTTTGGTGGTTTTAGAAGTTCTTCCCTGCCTCTCCTTGCCTGGAGGTGAGAGACTGGAAAGGAAAGATTGAGATGTGGTAGTGCTAAAAGACTCGTGCGCTTGACGAAGCATCTTCTGCCCGTCTTGAAAGGTTGAGCAGCTCAACGGCTGTCGCAATCATCTAGCCCCATTTCCTCTTTTCCGGGCAACCGTCAATGTTTTACTGAAAACTAGCCACGCCCCTACTCTCATCCTGAGGTTCCCTTCCCGGTTCCGAGTGTTTGCCAGGCTTCTCTAGATAATGGATTTACAGAAAGTCTGGGCGCCTGGATCCAATTAGGGGACCATCTTTCTCATTACACGCTCCGCTTCGCCCACCCCATTTCTGCACCCCTCCTCCCTTTCTACTTCCTTTTTTGTGGTTACACAGGTACCTTCACAGGAAGACTGAAACAGCCAAGTTAAGTTCACACTCTACTGTCTTGGTAGTGTGGTATGAAGAGAACGTTAGGGCTGAGACACTCGCCGGTTATTCAACCAGGCACTGTTGGGTAACAGTGTCCACATAAAGAAAATGCAATTTGTTGAACTAGTGATTTTTTCCTGAAAGGTTTTTAGTGCATATGGCAGATTTTAAAAAGTTGCTTTATTAGAATTACAAGAATGGAACATTCTGCCATGGGTGAACTTTTCAGAATTAGTAAAGCAGTTTTTTTGTTTTTGTTTGTTTGTTTTTCTACCTTGTTATCTCAAAATAAGAGTCTGATGGAAGAAGTATTTAGAGTGAAGAAGACAAAACGGAAAATTCTAGACAACCCCCCTATCTTTGCTTGCTTTTATCACCAATTTTATAGGTCAAGTAGCTAAGCAGTATACCCCTATGTCCTCTGACATAAGGGTCATGATGGTTACCTAAACTGACTTCCAGAAATATGGAACCACCTTTTGTCTGCCTCAAACTGGTCAAAACCACCGATCACTTTGTAAAGTTGTTCAGTGGCTGACTTTAATATCAGACTATCAGAACCCCCGGAGTCTGCCTACTGCTACCATTTTCTGAACATGTATCTTATGAAAAGTCAAGAAGTCCAATTACACATGGGTAATTAACTTTTCCCTGCCTCTACTTTTTTCCCATGCATCAGGCTACCCTGTTCCTTTATCCTATAAACATCTCCAAACCACACTTATCCAACCTTTTGGATTGCCTTGGCTGCACTGAGTGAAGAGGAATTGTCTCTGGCTGCATATAAAATACATAATATTGAGCCGGGCATGGTGGCACTTGCCTGTAATCCCAGCACTCAGGAGGCTGAGGCAGGAGGATCGCTGTGAGTTCGAGACCAGCCTGGGCTGCATAATGAATTCCAGGTCAGTCTCAACTACATAGTAAGACCCTGTCTCAAAATAAAAAAATAAATAAGTAAAATACATAATATAAGTAGAAAAATATTTAAGTAACAAAACTTCCTTTAAAATAATAATTATCCCAGGCAGGTGGCACACACCTGTAATCCCAGCACTTGGGAGGCTGAGGCAGGAGGCCAGCCTGGGCTATATAGTGAGTTCAAGGCCAGCCTGAACTAGAGTGAGACCCTGTGTCAAAAAAAAAATTAAAAAAGTTATAAAACCGAAAACTGGGTGTGGTGGCACACGCCTGTAATCCCAGCACTCGGGAGGCTGAGGCAGGAGGATCACTGTGAGTTTGAGACCAGCCTGGGCTGCATAATGAGTTTCAGGACAGTCTCAACTACACAGTGAGACCCTGTCTCAAAAAAAAAAAGTTATTATAACATTTTGAAGAAAAGAGGACAAGTAGTCTACAGCACACAGTTGGGAGACACCTGCATTTAAAACCCTATCCTCAGGGGAATGGATATGAGTATTACTCTTTTTTTTTTGTTTTTTTGGTTTTGTTTTGTTTTGTTTTTGGTACCAGGGATCAAACTTGGGACCTTGTGCTTTCGAGGCAGGTGGTGGAACCACTGAGCTAAATCCCCAGCCTTACTCTTCTGTCTTCATGTGATTGTTCTCTTGTGAATAAACCCTTTTGTAAAATTCACTGTTAGCTGCTACACAAGTAGGAACTACACAGGGACAAGCACCTGGACTTGCAGGGCAAGAAGCTGCTACCTTTTTAAATAACTAATGGTCCTTCAAGTTGTTTTTTATTTTCTTTGTTTCTGATAAGGCCTTTCAGAGAAACCAGACAAAACCACAAGGAAAAAGCTTAAACCAGCTAAAATTTCTGAGTTATTTTTTTCGCTGATCTGTAATAAATCGCTCATTGTAATCTCATTATGTTACCACCTAGCTTGCTTCTAAAAAATGGCTCACCACCTAAATGTTCCCGGGTTTGGAGTTGCTTGCCTCTCTCAGGCAGGCACAGCGAGCTGAGCTACATCCTTGGCCCAAGCTGTCCTTCTTTTATGCTGTTCAAATCTAGAGGAAAAACCACAAGAACTTCCACATATGGGTCTTGAGAGGCAGTGCTAAGATCCCACACCTCAGGCTGAGGTCAGATCTATGCCATCCTATTGTCTTTTTTTTTTTTTTTTTTTTTTTTGGTACCAGAGATGGAACTCAGGACCTTGCACTTGTGAGGTGGGTGGTAGAACCACTGAGCTAAATCCCTGGCCCAAGATTCTTCTCCTCTTGAACAAATTGAATGAAATGAGCAAAAAGCAGTGACAAAGTTTATTTGAGAAAGTAAAAGTGGAGAATGGGAGAAAAGCTGGCTCTTCAGGGTGAGCTTCAGCCAAGTAAAGAGAAAAAGAGGGTAAAAGCAAAGTACACACTGCACCTAGGAAACACAGCATAAACTACCTTGGAACATTACCATAGCGCCATTCCTTGTGGCTGCCTCATTCTCCCCCCAACCAGGGATCACACTCAGGACCCTCTGCTTGCCAGGCAGGCACAGCGAGCTGAGCTACATCCTTGGCCCAAGCTGTCCTTCTTTTATGCTGTTCAAATCTAGAGGAAAAACCACAAGAACTTCCACATATGGGTCTTGAGAGGCAGTGCTAAGATCCCACACCTCAGGCTGAGGTCAGATCTATGCCATCCTATTGACTTTTTTTTTTTTTTTTTTTTTTTTTTTGAGACAGGGTCTCACTATGTATTTGAGACTGACCTGGAACTCACTATGTAGCCCAGGCTGGTCTCGAACTCATAGCGATCCTCCTGCCTCAGCCTCCCGAGTGCTGGGATTACAGGCGTGCACCACCATGCCCGGTTTACACCATCCTATCGAAAGCCTACAGGACTTTGGGAACTGTTCTGTGCATGTGTCCAGGATCTTGTAGTTAATAGGTCATGCCTAGTTCTCCAGCCAGCTTTTATGATGCCTTACTCCATGTAAATATAATGCTAGTTTGATCACCAGTACCAAAAAATAAAAAATAAAAATAAATAAATAAAATGCTAAATTCTCCATCCTGGGAGCTTTCATGTCTGCTGGTGTTTTTTTTTTTTGTTTTGTTTTGTTTTGTTTTTGTTTTGTTTTGTTTTGTTTTTTGAGACAGGGTCTCACTATGTATTTGAGACTGGCCTGGAATTCACTATGTAGCCCAGGCTGGTGTCGAACTCACAGTGCTCCTCCTGCCTCAGCCTCCCGAGTGCTGGGATTACAGGGGCGTGTGCCACCGCACCCGGCTTCATTTCTGCTGTTTTTTTGATCAAGCACTTGAAAGAAGCATGGCCTTTAACTAGCTGAGTAGTACTCGGAATGTGCCTATCTACCTGTGATGACAAGTCTTTACAATATGAATATATACGAGCCTTCTCAAACTTTGCTTGACTCCTGTGTTTGGGAAAGTATTCCTTTGGGAAATATCCCTACTACTCTGCATAGATCCTGCAACTAATAAACCTTTCTTCAGCCTTTTATCTCTTGGTTGTGCTTACTGGCTTTCCATCCGTTGTGTTCATTTACAATTTCAGTAATCAGTATATTCTCCAGCAGGCAAAACAGGCTCAGTTAGTTAACAAAGGAGAGGCTATGGGTCCATTTTCAATACATTTCGTCCTTGAATTCAGAGGAAACAAGCAAACAACAACACCCCACCATTAAATACAAAGTGGTGGTCACACTGAAAATAATGAATTTCAATTTTTTAGCTTCCATCTTTAAGTAGAAACTCTCAGGTGATATGAATGGGCAATCAAGGGTTATTTTCTTCGTAAACAATCTTAGAATTATTCTAAGATCTCATTCAAGTAGTTTATACTCAAGACATCTAAATTATTAGAATTGAAAAAAATTCACTTAAATATAAATGATAATATGTAATTCTGCACAGTTATCAGGATATCAGTATAGTTAGAAACAAAGGGGCTGCGGCACTCCCTTCCCTTCACCAGTTGTAAACGCCACACCACCCTAATGATGATCCGTGCTTCCATAATCCTGAAAAGTGCTAGTGTAGTTAGAAACTGGGAAGTTGTGTGAGCTACACCTTTCAACCATGAACACACCACCACCCCAATGAGTATCCAGGTTTAAATTTAGGAGCTTGCCTAAGAAGCAGAGTATTGACATCAGTGAGAGAGACAGGGAGAGGCACCAGGAATCTGAGATGTCTGACCCTATAAATACTGAAAGCCTGAGTTGAAACCCTTGCCCTCCTGCCTGTTCCTGCTGCCCGTTTTGCAATCTTCAATAAATATAGCTACTTATTAC